GTTGGCCTTCAGGTCGGGGACGAGGAGAACGTCGTGCAGCACCACCGGCTTGCCATCCGCTCCCTTAAATGCAGCTCGTCCCGCACCAGCCACCTTCAACATGTGTCCAGAGGCAGAGCACACCTCATTAATCGGTGCAGCGCGTACGTCGTCCAGCAGGTCCTTGCGCGGCGTCATTGTCCAAGCAGCGCCTGTGTCCAAAACCCAATAGTCCAGGGGGTGCAGCTCTGCTCCAGCCTTTGCAGAGGCGTCTCCTTGCTCCCCCTTGTCTCCCATATGGAAGAATTGGCCCGCGGTGCGCTCCTTCTTCTTCTCCGCACCGCCGTTGCCCTTTGGGTTGTTGTCGGACGAATCAGCGATCATGTTGGCACCGTTTTTCTGGTTCCTCCGCGCGCCGCCATCCTGGTGACGATTCTGGGGGGTCCATCCATCGGGTTTCTTATAGCACAAAAACCAGGGGTGCCCTTCCTTCTCACAATACCAGCAACTCCCTTTCATTTTGCCACCAGCACCCGACTTGCCCCCACGTCCAGATTTCGCACCGCGACCCCAACCGGTACCTCCTTGTTGGTCGTTGGAGTCGTCGTCTTTCTTTGCACCGCGTCCAGCACCACAGAAGCCACGTCCTCTGCCACGTCGGCTCCCTTGCATCCCGTAGCCGCTGCTGCCGTCGTCTCCACCCCTCAGTTGACGGCGACGGAAGTCCTCCTCTAGAATCTTTGTCCGCACCCACTCGAGTGTCCACGAGCTCTGGTTCTGCGGCAGGCTCAATCCGCTCGTGAATTGAAGCCACGATTCCGGCAGCAGCGAGAGCATCTTCAGGCACTTGGTCTGCTCTGGGTAGGTGATTCCCGCGATCGCCAACTTCGCGTAGAGGTCGCGCAATTTGTCCAGGACAGGTTGCACTGGCTCTCCCTCGCTCAGGCGCAACGCGGACAGCTCCCTCTCCAGCATCAATGTTGCAACAACGGAGGTCGGGGCGTGCAGCTCCTTCAACACCGTCCACGCCTTCGGACCGCACTCAACCTCCGGCAGCAGGTGCATGACGTGGTGACGCTGGTTCAGCTCCAAACTCTGCGACATCAAGTAGTAGCCAGCCGAGGCGCGCTCGTCCCAATCTTCCTGAAGGGCGGGGTCACTCGGTCTAGGCTCCTCCCCAATCATTAGTTTCAGCAATCCGATTTGACGGAAATAAAGTTGCATTTTCCAGGCCCAATCATCATAGCCCTCACCATTGAACTTCTCGACGGTGAAGTTTTTCAGCACCTCCTTGATCAGCGAGCCCTGGCTTGTTCGCGCTCCCCTTGGCGCAGAAACACCAGAATCATGGCTGCCGCTACGATCTTGGGCTGAAGATTCACCAGCTACCGCCGAGGTGTTGCCCGCCATAGCTACCTATATCGAGGATCACTATAACGCAGCTCTGATACCAGCTTGTTGGTGTAAGGGCCTAATAAACTCAAGCTATTAAGACTTTATCACACTTAAAACCTCTCCTCGGGGTCACCTCCAAGGGTCCTTGGGTGCCTGGTACAAGACCAGCCCCTATCCTCGGGTCCGAGTTTGTAGAGAGAGGAATCAAGAGGGACTTAGTCAAAACAGCAAGAGTACCTTGAACGTCGCGCAGCGTATCGTGCAGACCGTCGATCGGATTAAGCTGAGAATTTCCTATATCGAAGCTCACTCTAAGAGCTTTAAAATAAGCCAAGTTGCCTCGCGAAAAGTTCTGCCATTACGAAGTTATGGCTCGGACAGCGTTAGCCTAGCGTTGGAGTGCTAGCGTACTAGCGTTGACTCGGGTAGCATTCCGCCGTCGCACCGCGTAGACAAGAAATTCCAGCAAGGAAGGAATTCGCTTGAATCAATTTCACTATATCCAGGTACAAACAGAGAAGGAATAAATAGTTCTAGCTAGCAAGGACCTTGGGAATGAACCTGAGAACAACCAGGGATCATCCCAAATAATTCCAAGCAACAGAACCAACCTGGCTGGACAAAACAGCAGGTGGTAGGTTGGTAAACAACCTCTGGTTCTGTTTTTCCAACCTGGGAAAACAACAACCAGGTTCAGGTCCTAAAAACAGAACCTGTTTTGTCTTTGCCCAACCAGCCAAATGCTGGTTCCGCTGGTTTCCCCTGGCCCTGTAGCATGCAGATACAGACAAACAACATCCAACCTTCACCTAAATTGTACCCCTATAGTGCCTGCCCTGCTACACTATAGTCAACCAAACAAAACAGTACAATTTCGAGTTGGATAGAACTGAATCTGCGCAATCAAGTAAGTTGAACCGCAAAGCTTCCATCTTGGGTTCCTTTGCGAGCTCGTCCTTTCTGCTTGTACTGTTCATAGCGCGTACAATGTTATGCCGAAGCGCACATTTTGCGAGTACCTGCAAATGCTTCAAGCGAAAATTGCGAAAGCAAACAAACACACAAACATACCATTCACACCCAAATGCATTCGCACACGCATACTCGTACAAACAGACGGCAGGATGTCGTGCAATGTGAATTTGCACCCAACAACCTCTACATACTGGAAAATCCAGACTTCTCCACGGATTGCAGGAATTTAGTGAGGAGGATACTAGAGGTCATAGCCGCCGAGTTGGGGGCAGGAGTCGCACGGGATGTGCTGCAGCAAGGATCCTACTGTCACGGAGTGCACCGCTATGAACAGAACAGCATCATCGAAGGGCAAGCTCAGGAGAAAACTCATCTACACAAAGAGGCTGGCACCGCGCCTCGTGGAAGATCACTTGGAACCACATCATATGCCCGCGCAGGTTCTGAAGCCAGACCACCCAAGCCAGTTTCAGTGCAATGAGCTAGCCATGCCACAGGAAGCCTGGCCCACCTTGGTGGCTTATCACAACGCCCACAGATTGATTTGGGGCGAGGTATTGTCGGGGCCTAGCATGGTCTATGACCACGTGTAGGGAAAGTGGGAGGAGACCACGACGAAAGAGAGGGAGCTGGGATTCCTCCCTAGCACCCAGTGCCGCACCAGGGTTGAGGAGAGATCGCGAAGGGAGGCCGTGGTTAGAGCATGGATGTGGAGTACATGCACTGGCTCATCCATGTCATACATATGCACCTGGCGAGGAAACAGTTGGAGATGGAGGCGGAAGTCGAAGTGGTGGGGGACGATACAGAGGCGACGGTGAGCAGGCGCTACTGGATATCCAACTAGAAAGCAGCAGCAGTGGGAGAGGGGATGGGCCATGATGGCCAGGGAGGTGGACCCTAAAGAGGAGGCAAGGGTGGAAGGAAGCACTGGCCCGGCATCAAGCAGAGAGGCACCACCAGGAACATCACGCAAGGGAGTGCTGGTCAAAGGAGGGTGAAAGCAGGCGGAGGAAGGAGCCGAGCATGTGATGGATGGAGAGATAGACTACAGCACCCTAAACTCATAACTACAGCAACGGGAGCTAGACTACGGGATAGGCACGGTTGTAGGGGCAATCTCAGCGTTCCTTAGTCATATTTGCTCGTGTTCTCTCTACATGCGCATCCACGGGGGAAATTGGCAAGAGTTTCACTAGCAAAAGTTCACAACAATGGTGAAAACAACATGGCAACAAAAACTACGTCAGATGCTAACAGACATGCAGGTCGACTGCCAGCGCAGCACGGTCGACCGCGCTCCACCACTGCATGGTCGACCGCGCTACAGTAGTGCAAAGACGCTGACTGCCAATGTTGCAAGTCGACGGCGTGCCAACGCTGCAGCAAAGCGGTTGCACAGCGTTGCACCCGCAGGACAGCAGCGCACGCGCTTTGCAGGTCCCCGCAGTTTATTGGCGTTCTTTGCCTCGTCATCTGCACAACGCAGACACCAAATCGTCCACTTGCTGTTGACTGCACCTGATCAGCCACGTCGACCTTGAAATACCACCACCGAGGTCGGCTTCGCCAGAACAACCTGGGCGACTGTCGCACTCCTCCGCAGAACCCCGTCGCTCGGGTAACCTGGTTGACCGGGCAACCACGTCGACCCGCTACTTCTCCTCGTGCCCGTCGACCACCCAGTTTGACGACCACCAGCGGTCGTGTCGAGAGTTGAACGGATGAAGAATTGACTAAGGAAAGACAAAGTACAACAAGATATAGTAAACCCTAACAAATAGGAAATGTAAAACCTAGACTAACGTAAACTAAACATATAAATTATATGTTTGACACAACCCCATAGTCTAGGTGACCGTAGTCCTGTGGAAAGCAACAAATCTCAGGGTGGGTCTCAAGGACACACACAGTCGGAGAGCAAGCAAGTGCCGCATCACCAATCAGCAAGAACAAGCAAGGTTCACAAGACCAGTCCACAAGAACACGACAAATCTCAGGGTGGAGCTCAAAGTCACCACACACTCCGAGAGCAAGCAAGAGGCCACAAGGCCAGTCCACATGCAGATATATAGCAAATATAAGAATATGCAAGAGTACAAGACCAGCGGGACAAAGCATCTCTACATAAGCAAGTGAGGACGGGCAGGCACAAGGCTGTCACCGCATATGCACCTAATGCATATGCCATAACAGTAGGTTGAGGGTATAGGCAGGGCTCTAGATTGCAACCATAGGAAGAATAGATGGATATGATAGTATAGAACAGAAATAGGTTGAAGGTGTAGAATGTAGCGAAGTGACTGTTAAGAACGGGTGTAGAAGGGGGGAAACGGGATAAGAGCGGTTGGGATAAAAAGGGGGAAAAGACACCGAAGGGCGAAATGTGAAACCGGTCAATCCCAAACCCGAGCCGCACATTTGGAAATGTGCAGCTTGGGGTTGGGTAAGGGCACTCACGTCCAACCCTTCGATGCTTTCACGATTATTATTCTTTCGAACTAGTGAAAGTCGCTATCTTCGATCTAGCACACTAAGGCACGTCACTAAGAGGGAACCTAAGGGTTGAGGGACCAAGCGCTTTCATAATAATCGCGAAAGGCATCGAAGGCAGAGTACATATGGATAAGTATGAATTGCGTTGGGGTAGGATGTTCAGCCGACGGGAGGAGGAACGGCTGCGATGCGACCCATCACGTGAACGAGTGCGATCCTTGGAGCAATCGCCGCGCCGGCCGGCCTTCCGCGCCGATCAAATCCCTCTCGCACGGGACCGTCGAGAAGAAGGATCGACGAGCGTGGGAGCAGGCGACGCCGAGCACGTCGGGGGCGCGGATAGAGACGCGTGGCTACGAGAGAGAGAGAGAGAGAGAGAGAGAGAGAGAGAGAGAGAGAGAGAGAGAGAGAGAGAGAGAGAGAGAGAGAGAGAGAGAGAGAGAGAGCGCGGAACTGGCGAGGATCGTGGAAACCGCCGCGACGCAGGAGTGTTCCGCTCTCCGGACAATCGAGAACGTCGTCGGGATGAGAGAGGTCGTTGGCGAGGTTTTGGGGAACTTCCCTGGGGACGAGGAGGAGACATAGGCGGCGATGACCGAGTGGGGATCCCGCAAGAGAACGCGGCACTGGAAGTGGCAGGGGGGCAATGTGCGGAAGAAGATGAGGAGAACCAAGGGCTGCAGGTTGAGGAGGGCGGTGAAGGAAATGACGGCGACGACCAGGCAGCAGGAGCGGGTGAGGCTGAACCCGCGCAGGCTAATGAGAGCGCTGGCGCAAGCCAGGCGGCAGACGTAGAATCGGGGGCCGCGCTGCAGGAATCGTACCGCCGAGGCATCAGCCGTGGAGAAGAGCAGCGCGCGGAGGGCTCACTTCGCCAGGAGCGAGTGACACCAGACGAGGGCGTTCAAGATGCACTGGTGCAGCCACATGGCAAGGGGAAGGCGGAGCGGTCTCGCACGCAGGAGAAGGATCCGCACCATGGAGAATGGCGCGTAGGCGACCTCTGCCCGTATGATAGGCGACAGGAGCAGAGCGGCTAGAGCGGCAGCGGTGTGCGTTCGCCAGGACAACAGCGTACGCGCGGTGGCAGATGGAACGATTAGTCGCGCTCACCTGAGCCGCACGGGCGCCAGGAAGGAAGGCACGGGGAGGAGCGGTGGTCAAAGGAGCGCTGCGGTCAGCAGCAAGGGAAGCGCAGCAGCGTGGGGCGTTCGCCGGGTCGGCCGAGGCAGAGAGAGGAGAGGGATAGCAGCGAGTCCCGCTCGCCCGAGTGGCGCCGCCAGCGGAGGGAGAAATACGGAAGGGAAAGGCACTCGCCCGAGTGCCACCAACAGCGCAGCAGGAGGGAAGGCATCTGGTCACAGTCGCCGGAGAGGCGGCAGCAGCGCAACACCAGAAGGTGGGAAGGGCGGAGGATGCACGACCCACCCACACAGCAATGCGGACGTGCGGAAGAATAGGGAGGGCCGAGGGAAAGGCGCCGCGAGGCGGAAGGGATTCGCCAAGAGAGGGTCTGCAAAGGGCAAGGGAGAGAGGAGCGGAGAAACGTCGGCCAAGAGGAGCCAGTGAAGCATGGGGAGAGGGGCGAGGGGGTGCTGCCAGCACCCCGCGAGTGGAAGTGCCCGCCCGATTCTCGGGAGATCAGCGCGCGGGGCCTACCCTCAAGAATTACCTGATGCAGGTGGGGAATGTGCGGTACCGCTACGATAGGCACGATATGGACCCGGTGGACTTTTTCTTGAGCTTACCGAACACATTGGAGGGAGAGGCCGAGACGCTGTACCGCATGAGGATGGAGGAACTGCTCTGGATGGCAGGGAGGTACGGAGAAAACCCCACCGAGGCATATCTGGAGCGGCTGCAGCGGCAATTCCCACGGCACATGGCGGAGCGCGTAAGGGAATTCCAGGAATTCAGGAGGGGCCGGGCGGAGTCACTGCTGACCTACTACAACAGATTGATTAACGTGGCGGAAGACGTGAGATGCACGGACAACAGCATTCTCATCAGCAAGTTCCTAGGAGGCCTAGACGAGGCTCTGGGGGGGGGGCTGAGGATGAGAGTGTATGAGCTGGGCGCGGAAGCAGGCCTAGAGGAGGTGTTTGATCTGGCAGAGAGGGTGGAGCTCGCGCAGAGGAAGTACGAGGCTTATCTGCCTAGGCCGACCGAGAGAAGCAGGAGGCCAACGTGGGCAGCGGCGATGATACCAGAGGGGGGAGGGATAGTAGATGGGCGAGGGGAGACAGGAATTGACACCAGAACCTGTCACAGGTGTGGGCAGCCAGAACATCTACGCAGAGACTGCAAGAATTGTGACGGTTGTGGGAAGCCAGGGCATAGGAAGCGGGAATGCCCAGATGCAGCCAGGTGTGAGATTTGCAAGAAACGAGGGCATGAGGCAAAGGACTGCTACCAGAGAGAGGGAGGGCCTAAGAGGCACCCAGAGGAGCTCTAGCGGCAGATCAGCAGGCTGCAAGCGCAGCTGAGGGCAACCGGGCTGAGAGGGGAGGCTGAGGCAGGGATGTATGCCAGAGACGAGGAGGGGGAGGAGGTGGAGCAAGATGTGCAGTGTGCACTCATGGCATGGAGAGGAAGAGAAGAAATGGGGCTGAGGAGCGGAGGGAAGGATGGCAGGCAGGAGCAGGGAAGGAAGGAACAAGCGAGGGGAGAGAATCTAGCTGAGCCGGCCCAGGAACGAGCCCCAGCACGCCATCCCCAAGAAAGACTGGCGCGCCAGACCTCAGTGCTGCTGCTAAAAGGGGGAGCAATGGAAGTGGAGGGAGAGAAGGTGAAGACTGCAATCATAGACACAGGAGCACATAGTGTGATGCTGGGGAAGGGGATGGCTGAGAGGCTGGGGTTGCTGGCGCCAGAGAGGCATGTGGCAAAGGGGATGCTGGTGATGACGGCGGAAGGGGGGGAACCAAAGTGGATGCCGTGCACCCAAACGCCCATAGAAGTGACGCTGCTGCCAGGGGGGGGAACACGAAACCAAAATCCGCATGAAGTGTGGGATTTCAGAGTCGGAGGACTTTGATGTATTGGTGGGCACCGAGCTAGTGTTCGCGGTGGGGATGACCATATGCACTTGGACTGAGAAGGTCGAGTTTCGAAAACGGTACTGGAAGAAGGAGAGGCCTTTGGGCGAGTTGCCGGTGCAATTTGTGAAGGTGGAGCCCAAGAGAGCATACCAGGCCGTGGGTGAACAGCTGCCGGGGAAGCAGCAAGCAGAGGAGCAGGGAGGGACAACAGGGTCATCAGAGGGACCCAGGATGAAGTGGATGGACGAGCCAAGGCGGTAGAGTGATTGGCAGCAGCCCATCTACCTGGTGGAGCTGTTTGGAGGGATAAGAGCAAAGGCTGTCAGTTGTGGTGAGGAGTGGAATAGCAGTGAGGAAGTGGACTTATGTGGAGAAGGAGCCGAAAGTGAGGAGAATGGCGGAACACCATGCGTGGCAGCTGCAAGCGGAGTTCCCAGAACTCTTGAGTGGGAAGGTGATTCAAGAAGCCATGGGTGGGAGCATCCATGACGTGCAGGAGATAGGAGAGGCAGAGGTGGCGAGCTGGGGGCAGGTGGATCTGCTGGTGGCAGGGTGGGAATGCCAAGGAGTGTCTTGAGCAGGCAAAGGGAGGGGAGGAGAGGATCATAGGACAAGGTTGATGGAAGACCTGTTCCGCATTATGGAGAAGTTGCAGGAGAGGCAGGGCAGGGTGGCATACTTGCTAGAAAACCTGGATCTAGAAGGAGACAGCAGGGAGCCGATCCGATTAGTGAGAGAAAGAATCAAGGGGCAGCTGGGGGAAGGGCTGAGCTGTAATGCGGCCAGAACCGGGTCCTACGCACACCGGCTCAGGATGTATTGGCAGAATGTGGTCCCTGCCGTGAACTTGCAAGAAGAGATGAATGGGGTGCAGCGAGCAACGGAACGGAAGGTGCAGGACATTCTAGCTCCAGGGCGGACCCCAGCACCGGTGTGTCGCAAGAGCTACCACATGCACTATCCTTGCAACCAAGTAGGGCAGGAGAGACGAGCCCTGCCCATCCTGGTGGCGTATGCGGGAGCGGCAGGGTACAAGTGGGAAGCAGGGCAGCCGGGGCCGGGCATGGTGTATGATAACAGGAGACGCAGATAGGAGGAACCCATGGCACTAGAGCGGGAGCTGGCAATGGGGTATAGGGAGAATGCAACAGCAGCCCCAGGGGTGAGTGAGGCGGACAGAAGGAGGGCTTTGGGGAATGCAATGGATGGCCACGCGCTGAGGTGGCTGATCCAGCGGATGTGGCGAGAGACGGTCGTGAGCTGGGGGCACGAGGAAGGGAAGGGAGAAGCAGAGGCAGTGCCTCGGGGAGCGTGGAGCTGCCAAAAGGAGGAGGAAAAATGGGAGGTGGGAGAGGCGATGAGAAAGGAGGGGAAAGAGGCCATGCAGGAGCTGTTGGCCAGGCACAGGAAGTGCTTTGCCTTCACCATGCAAGAACTAGGGAGATGCAAGGTGAAGGAGATGGAGCTGAAGCTGAGCAGCTCGGAACCAGTGTTTCACCGCAGGAGGAAGATGCCACACGTGGATGAGGAAATCTGTAAAGATAAGATCAAGGAGCTGCTGGAAGCGGGACTAATTAGGAGGTCAAAATCAGAGTATGCCACACCAACAGTGGTAGCTGCCAGGCGGGACCTGACAGGGGAGGTGCTGAGCTGGAGGATGTGTGGGGACTACAGGGCACTCAACAAGATCACCATAGCGGACAGGTACCCAATGCCAATGGCGGAAGAAATCTTTGACAAGCTAGCAGAGGGAGTGCTCTTTAGGACACTGAACCTGAGGCAAGGGTTCAACCAGATCAAGACCAGAGAGGAGGACATCAAGAAAACGACCTTTCATGGGCCGGACGGGCTCTATGAGTGGCTGTACATGCCATTTGGGTTGAGGAACGCCTCCGCCGTGTTCCAGAGGGTCATGGACAGTGTGCTGCGGGGAATGGAATGTGCGGCCTGCTACATTGATGATGTGGTGATCTTCAGCACAACAGAGCAGCAGCACCTGCAGGATGTGGAGAGGACACTGGCAGCAATAGATGCGGCGGGACTCACCTGCCACCCGAAGAAGTGCAGATGGGGGGAACAGACAGTGCAATACCTGGGTTACGAGGTGAAGGGGGGGAAAAAAGGGATACAACAAGCCAAGGTAGAGGTCCTGGATAGGCTGAGGGAGCCTAAGGACAAGTCAGGACTGAGAGCGGTGCTGGGCTTCTTGAGCTACTATAGGCGGTTTGTGCCCAACTTCAGTAAGAGAGCGGCGGTACTAAATGGACTACTGCGGGAAGACAAGGCGTGGGAGTGGGGAGAAGCACAGAAGGGGGCACTGCAGGACTTAATGACAGCAGTAAAGACAGCAACAGTGCTCAAGCTGCCCGCCGCCGATCACCCGTTCACGCACTACATTGACTGGAGCAGCCAAGGGATGGGAGGGATACTCTGCCAGGAGGTGGAAGGAGAGGAGAAGGTGGTGGCATATGCGAGTAGGAGCTGTAACACAGCGGAGGCACAGTACAGCTCCTACATAGGGGAAGGATTGGCAGCTGTATAGGCTGTGGGGCACTTCAGGGTGTACCTGCAGGGGAGAGAGTTCACCTTGGTGACGGATCACCAGCCCCTGCCGTGGCTGATGACAACACTGGGGTTGACGGGCAGGAATGCACGGTGGGCAATGAAGCTGTAGGAGTATGACGGTCTCTCTCGGAACTACCCACTGCCAGAGCTCACTGTGACCCTGACACTGCCGGCAAGGCTGGTGGAGATGAATGGGGCCAAGGGACAGAAGGGGCCAGTGTTGGTGTAAGGGCCTAATAAACTCAAGCTATTAAGACTTTATCACACTTAAAACCTCTCCTCGGGGTCACCTCCAAGGGTCCTTGGGTGCCTGGTACAAGACCAGCCCCTATCCTCGGGTCCGAGTTTGTAGAGAGAGGGATCAAGAGGGACTTAGTCAAAACAGCAAGAGTACCTTGAGCGTCGCGCAGCGTATCGTGCAGACCGTCGACCGGATTAAGCTGAGAATTTGCTATATCGAAGCTCACTCTAAGAGCTTTAAAATAAGCCAAGTTGCCTCGCGAAAAGTTCTGCCATTACGAAGTTATGGCTCGGACAGCGTTAGCCTAGCGTTGGAGTGCTAGCATACTAGCGTTGACTCGGGTAGCATTCCGCCGTCGCATCGCGTAGAAAACGAAATTCCAGCAAGGAAGGAATTCGCTTGAATCAATTTCACTATATCCAGGTACAAACAGAGAAGGAATAAATAGTTCTAGCTAGCAAGGACCTTGGGAATGAACCTGAGAACAACCAGGGATCATCCCAAATAATTCCAAGCAACAGAACCAACCTGGCTGGACAAAACAGCAGGTGGTAGGTTGGTAAACAACCTCTGGTTCTGTTTTTCCAACCTGGGAAAACAACAACCAGGTTCAGGTCCTAAAAACAGAACCTGTTTTGTCTTTGCCCAACCAGCCAAATGCTGGTTCCGCTGGTTTCCCCTGGCCCTGTAGCATGCAGATACAGACAAACAACATCCAACCT